GGTGAGTTATTTTGATGGAATGGCCGATTGTAAGGATGGCGCCCTCTGGTGGGCCCTCCTTGTCTGTACTCCCTAGTGTTTCGCCTTAATTAACTCTGATCTGTTTCACTCTTGTTTCATGTCCAGTTGTGTGTATTTATGTCCTGTCCTATCTGTGTATTTAAGTCCATCTGTTAGTTCTGTTATTTGTTGGTTCATCATTGGTTACAGTCTCGTCTTGTCCTGTCCTGATCTGTCCTGGTCCTTGCCTGTCCCAAGTTATCTTGTGATGTAAGTTTGCTGCCACGTCAGCCACTTTCCTTTGTTATTAAAAAGTATTTTATTTTACATTCTGCCTCCCGAGTCCTGCCTGCACCACTGGGTTCTTTCCTGCTTAGCCAGAAACCCTGACACCGATGTCCGATATTTAACTTTATTGCTAATATCGGCCGATACCATGCCGATAATATCGTGCATCTCTACAAAATACTGAAATTTTAGAAATGTTTTTTTTTTTCTATGACAAACTTCTCTTAACAAGTCCCCTTCAAACTGTTAAATGGTTACAATATGAGCTTTGACTTGCTACTTCCATAAACGTGCAGTTTCATTTCTGTCTGAGCCACTACTTAGACAATTTACTGGAATGTAAAAGAGTAACTCACTTGGTGAAACTACCTTTTTTATTTAAAATATTATTTAGTTCAAAATATTAAATACAACCAAATGGAGCATTTTATAAACTAATACCCATTCATATGGATTGGGAATATATTGCACAACATTCAAAAGGGTCTTTGTTAATCACATACAACTAAAATGCCCTTAATAAAGTAAATAGAAATATTTTTTTTCCTATTTAAGACTCTACCAAATATAAGTAAAAAGAAACAAGCTGTATGTTGATGCCCCTTGTTGCTGAGGAATATGAATTGTTTGTAGTTTTCAAGAACATTTTTAAAGTTTTCTGGACTAGAATTGAACAGGTTAACCTTAATGTTTTTCATGTAAGATATTTGAGTGTAGGAGTTACACTGTGTATAATAATTATAGTAATAGAGATAGGTGTGTTTTGTTTTCTTTTTTTTTCCCTTGTCCCAGGCAGCGCAGAGTAACAGACCCTGGCGAGTGAAGGGACCAATTTCATACATGATCAGACGCAATAGCAGAACCAGGGGGTGACCAATGGTGACCTTGGCCACCATGGATCAATCTATGGCCACCCCAAGGGCAACCCCAATCATTTGAGGAAAGTATACTTTTAAGCAACATAAATATTAGAAAGCAAATATATGGTGGTGGCCATTTTGGATTTAAATGTAGCAACCTATTTTTTAATATGGACCTTTATTACACCTAGATGCAGAAACACACCAAAATGGAATTCAGCACGTCATTTATTTTTCAAGTTATTCACCTCACAAGCTTTACTTGATGCATATATTGTGTCAGTCTTGGATTTTGACTTGTCAACTCAGTTTTTTAAAGGAACTTTTCTTATGACTAGATGCAGCCGCACATCAAAAGAGATATTAGTAGCTCACTTATTTTTCAAGTTATCATGCTTATGACATGCATGGACGGACAGACAGAGGGCATTTCCAATTCCCCATTTTCATTCTTTAATGTGGGAAAATAATGGGAGACAGATTGTTGTATTAAACCACAGCAGTGCTTTCAGTCATTCAATGACATTGTGCTAACAAACAGCTGATGTATGTTGGGTTTAAGCAAAAGCAGGAACAATAGTTATAAAAATATCCTAAAATGATTGTGTTTTTTTCTCACTTTGAAAATGTCAACAACAGCCTATTTTAAACTGCTTGTGAGCCTCTCTTGCATATCTTCCGAACCATAATTATGGACTTGTTTTGATCAGTTGGTCACTCAACACAATTTACAACATTTCTTCGAAGAGACGACAGGCTTTAGGTGAGTCGATTTGCCCTCTTGGCACGTACGCAGCTGGATATCTCATCGACTTGGAAGACTTGATGATGTGTCTATCTCTGCTGCTATTTGTGGATTTTAAGGACGCATATTTAAATGGATTTACAATAACTGGTTCCTGCTTTTTGGATTCGGCTGGTTGCTGGTTTTATTTACACTCAAGGAAGTCGTCGGCAGCAAATTTGGACCTGATCACGCTGCTTGCCTTTATGATGGCTTGGTTTGTGTCTCGAGTACCCAGACTCAAATGCTATGGGCAGAATGGATCAGATCTTGGGGATTTTACTCAGGCATGTTCCATCGGTGTGGCCATGTAATTTGGACATTTCAGAACCGAGTCGACCAACACAGACTCAAGATAGATGTCATTAAGTTCTGCCTGTCCCCAAAGCAACTGTGTGTTTATCTGAATTTGTCTCCCTTGGCTGGCCTTGAAGGTCACCTTATCTGAATTCACCTGGAGAACATGTGATCTGACGCTCACCACCCCCTCCCTGAGGAATTTCCAACTGATAACCAGATGGAACCAGCTGAATAAACGTGTCATCATTTCTGGACTCTTGGATTCTCATAGACGTTATTCTTGGCCATTCCTTTACATCCCTCGAGAATGTTTATGGATCTCACCAGAGGACACTGGCTGATCATTACATCCTTATCAGAACTATTACAGTGACCTCGAGAGCATATATGACCATTGCTGACCGCTCTCGTCGTCCCCCTCTGCAGAAAGTCTACATTACTATGTGCTTGTTTGTGTGAGATGTTTTTTAATATAGAGTTTTTTCTTCTCATGCAGGAGGAAAAAAAGTCTGATAGGAATTTTTTGCCTCCAAATTCCTACATGTGTCCAGTTTCACTACTTTTTGTCTGTCTAAACAGGTCTCACTTGTAAATGAGTCTTCTTGGCTCAATGTGACTTATCTGTCTAAATAAAGGTTGAATGAACATCCTATTTTAACTCACTAATTAATTTTTTAAGTTTTGTATTTAATAGTGGGTCCAATTAAGCTCCCTCCACTTCCTTTTGGAAGTTAAAGCTTCTTTTGTAGATTTCTTTAGCTACTATTCAGCTGTTTTATAGAAAAACTATAACTCTGCCATTTTTAAAGCTATTCAGCTGAAATTTGGTATATTGTTAGCTGACAAGTATCCCTAATAGACTGAATGAAAATCAAAAATCCAAGATAGCTGCCTTACCAAGAAACAAAAAGTACTATAAATAAGCCAATTTTAGTCATATTGAGCTGAAGGTTGGTGTGATGATATGAAAATAAAAAATCCATGATGGCCACCAACACCACTTTTGAATGGATTTAACTCAGCCATTTTTACACATACAAAGCTGAAATTTGTTGACTTTAGAGCTGAGAACATTCCTTATCGCATACTCCATCTAAATTAAAAAATCCAAGATGGCCGCCTTAGATAAAAAGGAAAAAAAAATATGATAATTCAGGCATTTTTAGAGCAATTCAGCTGAAATTTGGTATAGTGGTAGCTGAGAGCAAACCCAAACATATAGTACTGTCAAATCAACAATTTATATTAACAGCAGCCTGGCAGTTCATTACATTAGGAACAATTGTGCATGTTCTGCTTCCCTGTGATATTTGAAGCTTCTTTCTGCTGTTTTAAGCTACTTTCATCCGTTTTCTTGACATTCTTAAGCAAGAAGCATTCACACTTGCATTTTCACAGGAAATGCAAATTCTCTATCTACATTTATGATTCAATGCAACAGAATAAACCAATTTAAAAGGTAACAGATCATTGTAATTAGGGATCCACTGATTGCAGGTATCTGACCAATCACCAATCTCTAAAAAGTCTGACTTGCTAATTCCAATTTTGGCCGATACCGATTTTGTTTTATAAGCGACACTGTCAGGTGTTATAAGGTCACAATGCACTTTCAATTTTCCAATCTAATTTTATTGAAAAACATAACCTTGCACAATATCCTAGAAGCAATATAGACTTGTTTTAACTGGCCATGAGGTAGCGCTCTGAAATATAAATGAAGTTTAGACAATTGTTGTTACAACTACAAAAAAATCAGTAAAATCGGTTTCTCATGTAAGTGTCAAACGATCACCCAAAATTAAGGCAATCTGGGCTGATAAATCAGCCGGCCGATTTATCGGAGCACCCCTAATTGTAATACTTGGTTTATTTACATTAGGACTTTAAATGCTGGATGTCCGGCCCCTGAGCTGTTGGCTTTCAGTAACTGTGGCCCCCTGAGCAGTTTAATTGAATATCCTGCTTTAGGGGTGGAATACAGTTTATTACATCTACAAAACCTAAACTGAGTCTGGAAAAATGTAAAAGACGATAAAGCCCTGCGGCCGACCTCATGAGCAGCTGAATACAACAATGATAAACAGGAAGTACCACATGTTCAACTGTACGAAGGTAACTGCAGGTAAATCCTCCATTTTCTGTCATAATTACATTTTATGCAAAAATTAAAAAGGTTAATGCTTGAAGCTAGTTGTGTTTTTTTGTGTAGATGTATGTTATAACTTCTGTTTGCATAAGTTTAATCTTTGTTTGTTATGATCAGTGTAGTGGACTAGGCCCATGTCAAAAACTAAGTCTAAGGTCAAAACTCTTGACCTTTAGAACCTTGTGGGACAGGAACTGTCATTTCATTCATTTGAACTCAGAAATACAGGTTCACCCATCCTGAGACTTTCTTTCTTGAAGATTCAAGTGAAAAGAACACTCTCTTTTTATTATCATTACTATTTTACAAATGTTGATAATCAAAGTGTCTTAGTTCAAACCATTTTAGATGTGGCAGTGAACTAATCAATTTTATTAACTGTGTAATGATTTTTATTCTCATGTCAAAGCTGTTACAGAGTAATTATGCCTTTTCTGATTTCTGCTTTTGAATGAGCAAGTGTAAGTTGGTCCAAGGTTGGAATAAAACGCAAAACAAGTTGTTATGTTAAAACTGTCATGTTTTTAGAATCCTCTCAGACGTAAATAGAGAAGTTTTGGCACCTGTTTCTGAAACGCGCCAAAACAAAACTCTCTCTGTCTGTGAGAACATTTCTGATCTGTTTCATAACAATTCTCGCTGTCTCTAACCTCTTACGTCACAAAACACACCCCGTCTGGTCGTTTCTGACCAATGAACAAATCCCAAAAGTGAACCGGGAAACAGCTCTTTAAAATCTCAGTACTTCCTGGTCTACTCAGTCTTGGTTCTGTTGGAGTGCTGATGGAGTTCTGTTGGAGTTCTGCTGGATACACAGTCCAACCAGTTCTGTGAGAGACGGGATGATCCTGACAACAGAGCTCTTCCGAGTTCCATGGGAGTATAACACCTTTCACTCGCCACTACTTCTGACGAGCTACAGCCATACTAAGGAGACGCTGGACAGGTAGCGTTAACGGAACACCATATCTGCTGATTATCATCAGAAAGGTAATGGGTCAAGTTTCCTACCAAGCGTACCGAGGCGAGCTGGGTTTCTGATGGAGAGTGCCGTTCTGGTGAACACTTACTTCCCCTCAAACCCCATCTTTTATTCCCTCTAAACTTCTTTCATCTCTAAACTTTTCTCTCAAGTAGAAATTCTTCCAGATATTTTAGAAATGTCTGTGTAAAATGCTCACCCACATCCATGTGGGTAAAAGATCATAATTGTACAGTTTCATAAATGTCTGTGGTGAAGCAACGGAAAAATCATGGCCGTATGATTTTTCCTGATTGATTGCTTATGTTGTTATTTTCATAATTTGCCAAATTAATGTAAATGTTTGATGTTAAACTTTGATTCTGTAAATAAATGACCGCATTCATTTTGATGGGTCAAATATAAATGACGTCTCACGTTTGCATTTCCTTAAATTCAATGCACGTTTTATTCAGTCCAGAAAAATGAGGAATCCGTGTTAAATGATGAATATATCTGAGCATCTGTTCATCTACACTAAACTGATTTTGTACAATGTGTTTATTAGGTTGTGTAATGTAAAGCAGAGCACTAGGTCTGTAGCATCTTAGCTAGTGCATCTGTACTGCACGCTGCTAGCTTAGTGCTACTTTTTGTTGTGCTGAGTTCTAAAATAGTTGTTGAATCAAGTGTTTACTTATGTAGGTAAATGTAGATGTTTAACAACCTCTTAAAATACACCAGAATGCAGGAAATGGCATGTACTTTATTCAAAAATTTCTGGGGGATGACCCCCAGAACCCCCCACCAATGTGTCCCCCCCACATGATGAATGCTTCTGACACCAGTGGCCACCACGTTGTTCAAGCCAAGAGCCACTGTCAGCACTGGGGGCTGAACACCCCTAAAGATCAGATTCTAGAATCACCCCTGACTCAGCGTAAAAACCAAAAACATCTTAACATTTCAATTAAACACCGTTTTGATTTCAACCCTGGTTCTTTAAAAGACAGTTTCTCTGCATAAAAAGTCTTAATACTTTCATTTTGCAATATTAGTTTTATAAGAACTATTTTTGTAACAGACTCTCTAATGTCAACATAAGGTTAATGTAAGGAATTCTCTAATGTAAAAGTGAACAAAATTAAACTATTTTTAAACAGTATTTGCATTAATCACTAAAAAAACATTTTAAATCATAATTAAAAAAAAAAATATATATATATATTATTTGTTTTTAATCTTAGACTAGCAGTTAGCTTACTAATCGGGTCAGAGATAGTTGTTTTCTTCAAACTTAAATGGTTTTAAAAGATATCTACAGCAGGTATGATAGCAATTGTGTAGTTTCCAGGAAGGCAGGTGTGATTGTTGCCATTATTCCTTTAAAAGACAAACTTTACAGATCACTTTTTTCATGTATTGCTATTTAATTAGTAAATATGCAGACCTCAGTCGCATGTGACAAAATAAATGTCTGCGGTTATACCGAGTTGTGTTAAAATATTATTCCACAAACACAGTATTCTTACTCTGCTGCATGCTCTTACTCCATCTCTAAATGTCCTTTCTGTCCATTCATGAGAACGCTCCGTCTGAAATGTCAGCCTCCGTGTGCTTTAACTGCACCAGCATCAAAACGCCCACCGGTGTAATGTAGTCGGCTCAGAACATGACACCACTGTGAGCTGCATGATGATGAAGGCAACGCAGAAAGAAGTGACAGCAGATAAATGTTCCCACTTTTAGAGCAGCTGAGGGCTTTAACACCACAGGCTTCATCAGTTCTTTTAGATGAGCTCATGTTAATGCAATTTTATAAACTAAGACTTTAATACTTTATGTGGAAAAATAGAAAATATATTCAGTGTTTGGAAAATGCAATTCTACTTTTATAAATATTTAAACAAGTAAGAATATGTCATGTCTCACTGAAAAAGTTGAACCTGCGAAGCTCAGAATTTACCTCAGAACGAAAATGATTGGGGATTCAGAAACAACTGCCACAAGGAATATCTTAAATCCCTAATTCATGGAGATTAACATCAATTTGTGATTCTGCAACATTGTTATGAAGTGTGTTTTTGTGCGGGTGTGATTACAACAATGCAGTAAATGTCAGACTTAACTGAAAATAACATAAAATCAGATGTACACA